CCACACAATGAAGCATTGATTATCCACGCAGTGGTGCTCTGAAGAATTTCGATAGACTAGTCACACACTTGCTAGTTTCTAGATCTATACCCCTGCCGGGATAATTTTGCCCACTAATTGAGTAGTTTGTGTAAACGGTCCTAATTAGAATGCATCTCATTGACAGCTAGATCTCGAAATGATTGTATAGGAGAAACCGCGGGAGTTCTTATTTCTTGAGTTCGACAACAAGAATGAGATGTGCTTAATTCAAAACCTCTTGAGCCTTTCCGAAGAGCCTAAAACTGCTACTCACCAAGTGATTTTCACACCCGACTTCTCAAGAATGGCACCTGCTGTGGACCAGCTACTCCGGACAAGTGAGGGAAAGCCAAACACTGGATCCACGCATTGTCGAAGGTAGCATTTCGTAAGCGGATCTACAAACAAAACACATGGTGAAATACAACTTGAGCTTTCACTAGTTAATCATCAAGCTGGTGTGCACTTACGATGGAAACATTACATCTGACTCTCGAACTCCATACTCGATTAGTGAGAAACACTAAAAATTCACGAATGCCTACACTACTGAAAGCTGTTCTTCTATAAGGTGTCACGTCACTGTTAGTTCGACGTATTTTGGTAGTGATACAAAAGTAACACTTTAATAGAGCCTTGTTACCTTCTGAACCAAAACTAAGGAAACAGGGTAAAGTGCATTTTAAAAATCACAATCTCTTTAGTGATTTTTTGACACTACTCATTCGAACAGTTTTCCTATTCTCGCACAATTATTCTGGGTAGCCTACACCAGGGGGAAAGCACTGGATTCAGGTTTCGATGTCATCAGAGGTCTCCAGCACTGCGTGCCTTTGGTCATACCGGCATTCAAACCCCGGAAAAGTGGCACGCGAGGCGACCGTATTGACACAAACTACTCCACCAGCGACTTCATTGGAGCATACTCTGCTCCCTTATCACCGGTGTTGGTGGTCTAATCCACTCATCTGCCCATTTCCGGCCTTAACGGTTCCGTACTTTTAGCGTGCCCGCATTATACTGTTGGACTCAAAATTAATGATAATGCCGAGTTCGTACTGAAGTCCTCTGTCAGCTGCCATAAAAGTAAACAAATGATTTTTTAACAAAGTCATTACTACAATCTCTGATTTTGGGATGGACGAAAAACGACTAAGTTTGAAATTACAGGCGATAAAAATCGAGAGTAATAAGCTCGATAAAGCGATAGCAGTCAAACGATTGGGCAGATTTATATATAAGAAGCGGAGACCATAGTTCATAAACGCAAAAGTTGTAATAAGACAGGACAATATCTCATCTACAAGAGATTCAGCTGTGTTCCAGGTGAGTCTCCCGTCAAAACCAAAGTGATATGCGAATGAGTGTTTCTGTCGAGGTCTGTCCATTTTGGGCTCAAGCAGAACATTAAATGGAGCTGATGAACCCCAAGAAGGGCAAAACTGGTTGTGGGCCATCAGAGAGTTTTCGGCAACCTTATGAATAGTGTTCATACAATGTATCGCGTTATCTAGAATATCGTACCACCTGAAACATGAGGCAGCCTGGTGCAGCACATTCAGTTGCTCAAGAACATCATAAACGAGGGATTCAACTGGGGTCCAGGTGAGTCGCCCGTTAAAGCCAAATGCATACTGCATCATGTTTACATTCAAGTTAAAACGCGCGCAATTCGACTAAATAACAGGATCGCTCAGGCCAATAGTTTTGGTGATCGCCAATCCAAGATACTATTCAGCAAGAATTGGTCAGTGAGGGCGTCGTATGACAGCACTCACTAGTGTTTTTATGGGGGTTCGAGTTTCAGTGATTTATTTCAGACTCGTGGGCATTTAAAGCGGATGTTTAACCAAAAAGATCAATGGAAACAACTGGGCATATGAAGCCAGATATATACCCCCAGGGTATCCAGATCCAACTGGGAGAGAATCAGAGACCAGACCCCGTTCGTTTATTGGCCAAATTTGCAGCAGCCTGTCGCGCGTAACCTGAAAGCAATTGAAAACTGATTAGTTACTACTTTATCATTTGTGTGATTCCAAACTTGATTCGTCCGTCTATTATTGTCACACCCATATTTAGACGGTTTTATATGCAATAAACTTTTTTTAAAAAGGATCAGTCCCGAACAGAATTCTCCAGATTTCCATGGAATTTCATGCCTCCGAGGAGCGACTTAGTCCCCTGGAGAAAGACCATGAAAGCAGTGATCTACGAGAAAATACGGCAGCAAGCTTCACGGCTGAATAATAGCTTAGAGGAACGAAAGCTTGGGTGCAACTGAATGTACGAGGGACTCCATAATGGTTAAAACTTGTCTAAACAAGCTGGACTATTTCGAATCCGTAAGTTAAGCCTATCTCCACATTCTGAAGGACATCATTTAGCTTGAGCTCCCCTTTTTCAACTTCATGCCTTCAGTTTGTCGGTCTGAAAGAAAGGGTTCGTCATCGACGGTTATACTAATACCAACACCTGGTGGTTTCATTTGTCGATGTATCATATACGAGAAAGGATAGAATCAGCACTTACACCAATGAAAAATTAATAAGCACTGGTTTAGCTGTTTAGCTGCCATACACGTCATGGAAGAAGGTCCTGATAAGGAGTAGACAGAAATGGGAAGGATCGGGACCTAGCAGAAAACAAGCCTAATGTCCTCGTGGAGGACGACTAAGAACAAGGACTCCGAAGGGCACTGAAATAAATACACTGGGGCCAGTAATGGGATTGATCCCACATTTTCTGCAAACCTATTCAAACGCAAGCCAGGCCCACAATGACGAGCTTGGCAGTCCGGATAGGAAGTGGTAGCATACTCGCCAGAGACCGGCTATAGACCATGTTCTCTCAGGTTTCCAAAGCGCAAGGAGAATCACGTGGACTGTAGCTCCGCCCAGTTCAGATGTAGAAAATTTCATTTCGTGTTGCCACGCGAGAGCAAACTACTAGAACGCCCTCTTTAATATATGGTGGTTGGATGTGTGTCACAGGTGTGCTAGTCAGGTGGACGGAATTTGCTGCTTCCGATTTTCTGATACGTTAACGGGTGCTAGCCCACACACCATCTCAATGAGGACAATCTATAAGCGAGAAAACCTTGCTATGCTACGAAGATACTGATAAACAAATTCTTGAAGATGGAATACAAGTAGATGGCCGCTCAATTTGCTGCAGACTAAGTGCCTGCGTTCTGCAATCTTGCGATTAAAACATGCTGTTGGTTGATAGGCTCAGTGAACAGAACAAATACCACCTAATCAATGACCAGTTAAATCAGCCGAGCTACCAATACACACTGCGTAGAAAGTAATACGGCCGCGCATCAGCCTAGTGCGCAGCGGAACAATCATGTGAAACAGAGCCGTGCGATTACGCCTATACGTCTGAATCACGTCCGATTTCATCATGTGCCGGGGAAAGGTGAAAAAGGAACACAGAAAGCTCACGCCTACACCATGGCCAAGGCAGTCCGTACACAAGCGCACTGACGGCTATTTATGATCAACCGAGACAAAGAAACAACCGCCCGAGAACCGGCGTGGGCGTGCAGGAGGCACTGGTTGGCTGACAGATCGACCATCAAATACGGTCACAAGTGAATCATATATATAGAAAGTTGTAATTTCGTTAATGGACAGCTCCTTCTGGTCGCCTGCCTTCCTTCTGACTATAACCCAGTAGCGTCAGGGAAGGTGATGAGATACAACAGAAAGCTTGGCTAGAAGATATTTCGTGGTGGCGATCCGAGCTTGTGAAATGTCGGTGACGACCTTGAAATTACTCGAACCCATGAGAGAAGCCGATTCTTGAGTGGCAAACTTTGGCATATTTTTGGATAATTCCATAGTGTCTTTAGATTACGACAACGGCTAGCTAAGACTAGCTAAGCATGAAAGAAGACTGCGATAGGGTACTTTAAAATACGAGAGCAAAACAGGCAAGTGACGCTAACAGACGTTATTCATGTCACTGAGATGATCAGTCAGCTTTGAAGTAACAATAGAAGTGTGAATGAATTAGGAATAGTCGGTATGAATTACACCATACTGATGAGACAATTGGTCAAAGAGCACCACAATTTTCTATACAATTTTTCGACGACTTGGCACACTGATGGTGAAGGCTACACAAAATCACGGAAACAGATTATTCCCAGGAATGGCTATAGGGGCTCGTTCCCCGCGGTTGCTTCCCTTCCGAAGGGAAGGGTGCTGCGGTGTAACATCGTCACGATCGGCAAAACAATTCGTAATGCGGGCATCCTGGTTCTTCAATTCCACGTTCTAATCAAACATACTATAATCGCGTCTTTGGTACCGCTCAGTACATTAGAAGCTGATTAAGAAGGAATTTCTGTGAGGTTGAGGAATGAACTTGCTGACCGGAAGGTTAGTGGTTCAAACCCAACCCCGGTATCTCGACTCTACCTGTCTGAGCCCTGATAACCTAGCTATCTCAGCCCGTGTGGCGCCTTCGAGGGGCATGGCAGTTAGGCACCAAAAAAGTGTTACACCTAAACGAAATTAATACGGAAGCATTTAGAACTAGTCACCATCACAGATAGCAACGTATTTATCGTAAATACTAGAAGTGTTTATAGGAAATACAAATAGCTTAACAGCGAATACGTGCGAGGCCTCGTTTTCAAGCACACAATAATTGATCACGGGTGGTTGCTCAGAGCCTAAGGGGGCTTGTCAGCCTCCACCGGGGAGTTGATCCCTTTCCGGGGAAATCATACGCAAAGTGTGACTGACTGAAGATACCCTTGTGGTCTTTGTTCACAACGGCTTCCCTTTGGAGGTTGTCGTGATTCATGAAACTGACATGTACAGAGAAAAAGGTTCCTTACTAGAAGTGATGCATGCGCCGGGAAATCAGCCAATCATAATTAACTGGGATCCCTTATATCACAGAATGCTTCCACCTCGACAAAACGTACGGATTAGCGGAAAGCAGACCAGACGGTGACCTACCTTGGCAAATATACTGGCTGCACTGACAATAGCATAGGTATCATCCGCCTTGCTCTCCACGCATATCTTCAGTTCTGGAAAAAGCGCTTGTAGTTTGGCTTCGTAGAGTTCAGCTTTACCGACAGTGTCCACGTATACCTAAGAGGAAAATAAGTTGCCTAATTATCAATTACACTTGAAGACAATCTGGCCAGAAAAACTCAGAAACTAAACAAGCGTTGGAACGATCACTTGAAACAAATACCTTAAAAAGTGCAGCAACAACGGTTGATAGAGAAAACCGCATGAAATTACTCTTAACTCTTACCTCTTTGACATTGACTCCTTTGTCCAGGGCAGCCCGGATAAGTCCGATTGCCGCATCATGAGAAATCACGTTCAAGCTAGTTTTACAGCTGAAAGACAGAAAATTATCGATCCATCTACTCAGGATGGGCGCGAGGTACAAAAACAGGTGGATGATTTCTAACGTAGGAAGACTTATGAACATGTTAACATAATCAGCACTCGATTAATGAAAAATCACTCAGACAATCAAAAGACACTGATTCCAAACTTGACATGGGTATCCTGCCCAGTCTCTGCCACTTACGTATATTTTTTGCTCCTCCGGAAAAACGAAGCTGTTGATTGATATCATTGCGTCCGCTTGCGCATCTAAATTTTCCCAGTACTTCAATCATTCTGAATAACTACACATAGCTGAAAGTCAGGTTAACTCGTTATGGTCCCAGGCTATTTGATGGTGGAAAGATGGTTTGCGGACCCTTTTTGAAAAGCAATAATCAATTTTCCCATGTAAACCGATCTTGAACATGCACAGTAGATATGATAGCCTTGGACCGTTGAATAGGCGTCAGTTGTTCGTCAACAGCTACATTATCCGGGTGAAATTAAAACATCTATAGGCCGATAGACAATCATGGGAAACAATCCCATTCCCTCATATTCTCCTATTAAATCTTCAGATCCTCTCTTTCTTTAAGTTTGTTTGCACAAGAAGGTTTGCTGTAAACGCACCAACTTCTACTAAAGAGAGAGCGAGGTCCGTTTTTGCGAACAAAATCGTCAATATGTGACCGGTCGTAGCAGTTGCCCTGTCGGGCAAGCAATGTAGCGCTTTGTCTGTCGGGGAGGTTTTGACCTACCCCGTGGTGGTTGCTGGTCAGCCTTAGATAGGTTCGGTCTAACGCAAAATAACTGCGCAGTTTCACATAACAGTAACGCCGCCTCAGAACGTTGCGGGTGAGGAGGACGATAGCGGGAAATTTCCGCTCACACGAGCACACATCAAAATTACTAACTCTGGGCACATCACACAACAACAAATACATCTCTATCCTCAGTTTCGTCCCCGACCCAATGAATTCTGTGGCTCGAAGGAACCCAAAGCGGTTGTTCCTTAAGATGGATAAGCGCAGTGTGGGAACCAGAATCAGCAGTAAGTCTAAGGCTGATTGTTTGATGATCGAGAGAATTAGAGTCCAATCAAGAAATTATAACGCTTCAGGTTAAGGAAGAACCTGAAGGTGATTTCTAAAGATTTTTCCCCTTTATATTAATGTGAAGTGATGGGGAGACTAGCCAATTCTTAAGTTCGGCGGCAGAGTACCTGGCTTTATAGTCTCCGTTCATGCGGTGGAATGCCAGAAAAATGCATCCCCACTCGACTCAAACTTACCGACCCGGGTGGAGTTTTACCACTAAGTCGGTTCAGTCAATCGGGCCATAGCGAAACGCAATGCATGACGGAAGTGATATACTTTAGTGAACCCCGTGAATCACCTGCTACTAAATCGGATAACTGCAATCTATCGGAGAGAATTACTGGATCACTCACCGGCCAAGCATCTTCTCCGTTATGAAACGCGGACTGATAACTCGTACGGCCCCGACAAGCCAATCGGTGTGCTGTAGCATTCGTGCTAATAATGATTCTCTTTGATGTTCAGTCAATGTTTTTGAATCTGAAATGTAAGAACGTGACAACAAAACCAACAGGTGGCAGCTTGAAAATCTCAACATTATGTTCAGAGGCAGGAACATCCACGGGATAAGTAGGACCCTACCAGAACCATAACAGTGGGCTGGAACGCATTAGTATTTACATGTGTTGATTCCCCCTGTGAATCAACGGTGAACGAGGGTAACTTTCCTTGTTTTCTGACTACTCGTGAGTAACATGACTTACACCTGTTTATTATGGCACCGTTTCGTATACCTGCTGCTCGTTTTCCCCCCGCTTTGTTCCTACTTAAGGCCTGCTTATCCCTCAGTAAGTGATGTCAATATTTGTTGCTCGTCTGTCATTGACTGCAAGTCCGCCTCGATTGCGCCTATTTTTGAGCGCCTATTCTGACGGAAAAGAGAGCCGACAAGGGTGTCGAACCCGGATCCTCCGGATGGAAGGCGAACATGTTACCGACTACACCGACCTGACACACCGAGCGGCTGATTATCTTGTACTACGCATGTATCGCGCCTGCCAGATAGCCCTTGCCGAGCTTTGTTTTAAACAGACAAAGTCGCGCAATCTGACCTGTCGCGCGACACGAACGGCTGCGTCGACGTCGACCGAAAGACAGTCCCTCACACCCCGGACGTACTGACTCCTGCGCCGTTACGGCCAACTCATACTGTCAGACTGCCCCTATATAAATCCGTGCTGCGTCAGTGACTACTTCCCGCCCCTGCTGATTGCGTCATTGTTGATTAACCAGTTCGTCAGTCCTCAATATATCATCTGCTGCCCCACGTCTGTCTGCTCCTATTGACTACTGGCTACGAACTGCGTATAATCTAATAGTCGCAATCGTCCTGTGAGATCCATAACCGCCCGGATCTTACAACCTGTCACACCCAATGGACAGACGGACCTTGGAGAAAGTCAGGTGATGTCACATGTGGTTTGAGCCGAACCGTTCGTAACCAACTGAACGCCCGTTACTCGATATAAAGGTCTCCAGTGCGGACAGACAAGCGTCGCTTTTATATAGGATAGTTGCGCAAACAGAAGCTCTAAACACATTATCTTTTAAAGAACCTTACAACAAGCCAGCTATGTCACAGGGAATAACGGTGCCCAAACATTGTTCCAGCCATCTTCATTGGGTTCGAGGTAGTAGGCGCAGTTGCCGAATAGATGTTTCGAAATTTAACGACGTTGTACTTTTTTGGGACGCACGGTTTACGGAATACAGTCTGATTTGAGTCATTTTTAGAGTCTCAACTACGAACAAGACAATAACAAGTCTACATAAGCGTAATCCATAGAAAAATTGGATAAAAACCATGAAACAAATAGGTTAAGCACACAAGGAAACTAATCTCAAATCAGAGACCTAGCAGTCAGTCGGCGAGACGAGAAATCTGACCAACTGGGATAGTGCGATCTTTAAAGGCAGCAGGTCAAAAGAGCATGATAAATGGGATTCTGAAGAATGCAGTAATATTTCAAGCGGCGGCGTTTTGAGGTGCAATGTTTGAAAGTACGATTAGTTCAGGGAGCCTAGACGAGATACACAAACCTGAATGTATTCAGATGATGAGTCTTGTTCGCAAGATCAATCAGTAGTCCTGTTGTGCACGGATCCTCTTTACAAGGGACTCATGAGCATGGATTCCGAACTCGATCCCACAGACATGTGCCCACCTTATATTTGCACTGATTTCACCATCAATACAAAGGGGATACGTCCAGTGAACAATCCTGTGTCTTCAAGGCACCACACAACCGATAGGTCGATTGAACAAGCTGAAGTGGCAGTAGTTTTCACTGAGCCTATCTGTCTAGCTAAGGCAAGACACCGGTCTTTATGTACAACGCGCTAAAGAATACAAGAAAGAAATGAACCTTTTCACCATCCTAGTTTCTGGTTACTGCTATCCGTAGGGCAACGCGAAAATGACAGAAACATTCTTGGAAAATTCGGAGCTAGAAGCCGCGGGATAAGCATCAAAGGGATAGTCAGTTGATGAAAAGTGCCATGAATATCTTTTGAGTTCCGACCGATGGTGCAAGTTGCAGGGAATTCATGCGGCAACAGGGCATTCTTTCCACAGAACGAACGCACACACAGACGGAGCTTTACTGGATCGCACAATCATGTACTTTGTCGATAACCGCAGTGTTGATAGCTGGTTGGTGTTCGTCAGTCACTGAGTGGTGTTATCACCATCGTTCAGCATAACTGCGACGTAGACAGGTAATGAAAAAGAGCAGAGCAGACGGGGACTGAGTGCAAGAAAGTCTCAAAACCTAAGAAGACCTACAAGGAACAAGAAATAAATCTGAATAAACCATTGAAATAAGCTCGTCCGGACATTATGTCGGGGAAAGGCGACTTCAACAAAACATGATTCGAGCACGCTCAGGGTGAAACGGGCGGGTTAAATTCAGGCGGCTTGGTTGCGAAATGACAGCGTGCTTTCGTCTGAGACCCTCAGTTCAACCACGCACGCACCAACCAAAAATTCACAAAATGTTCATAATTTCGCGTCCTGGTCATATAGATGACCCCCGCAAATTATTTACCAAGAGGGGTTTGGAGTGGAGAATAAGCTGGATGGAAATACGTGGTGCATGATCGAGCCTATAATGCGATTGTGAATCATAAATGCTTCGCACACTGGACTTGGTTTTCCGTTTGATGTGAGGTTCCGGCTACATCAGTGCAACAGTGACAAAAAAAGAAAAAAAAGGGTTTTGAGTGATTTCGTACATTTCTCGAAGAGCCATTCCAAACCATTGCCACTTAGGTTGTATGGTGCCGCGGACTCATTAGTAAGCCATAACGTGGAGGAGATACAAAAAACCAACCTGCAAGACCAAGCACCTTGAGGTCGTCGGACTTGGATATCGGTGAAAGCGCACATGCATACACCATTGGACCTACGATGAAACATGATTATTTCTCAGAAAGCGTAAAGAAGTTATTCACGTGGGTTGCAATTAAAAGAAAAATGTACACATCAAATATAAATCAAGAGGACGCTATGTAAACACTGAAACAGACGACGGGGTGATTGCAACGCTATGATACCGGATTTTATAGGGGTATAAATACGATCACTTATTTTGAATCGAATGCAGAATCATTCGAATTACTAGTGATGGTTAGATTGACTCAACTTCATCACACACGACAAAAGCTGTTTCGTCACCATGTAGCCTAGTGGGCCACTGTAATAACGGTATTTTCCTCAGCTTAGTTCTCCACGGGAACCTCTCTCAAGCTAGCGTTCCCGTCAAAAACAGCCACCAAAGATGCACAACGCATATTAACGCCCAAAATCAGGTTAAAACACTTGCGCAGCGCGTCATATAAAGTGTGTGCCACGACAACATTCTGAAATTTCAGACACCTTCTGGATGTGACATTGGTAGCACGCGTTCGGCTGTTGGGTCCAGACTTCCGACCAATCAGAGCTCGGCTTGATGCCGGACAGGCAAACGTTCCCAAATTTTTTTTCAATCTCCTGTTAGATAAGCTTCTCGGCCGTAGTAGCACCTAACTGTGAGTGGTAAAGCGGTATTGGTGTGGAATTCCGCTTAACGCTCACTCCACCTTGCTGACGTGGGTACCATACAACAGACCAGACACGAAACCATCATGAGTGAGCAGGATAGGGCGTCTCAACAATGAGTAGAGAAGATAAATGTACGACTGAAGATTCGAATATGAACCTGTGTTAAAATAGGTATCTAGAACACTGCACCATCACCGAGCTTATTCTATATATGTTTTCTCCATAAGAAAGTGCCTGATAACATAGCCGCCAATACACCCCAGTTATTTTCAGTTGGAGGATGATGAATGCCACATAGCATTTCTTATAGTCATTGAAAGACAGTGAGTGAGCTACCACGTTAGCATTTAATCAAGTAGAACCGATATTTCATTAAGATCTACAAGATTGCAAGCAAAAAGTTGGTCTTGAATAGAAAAGTGGTAGAAAAAAATGGATGAACCGCTGTTTCACAAGCTTAAAATTGAAGGATATTAAAAAAGATGGCCGACTGGTGCTCTACCCAACCCATATAATGATGTACACGAAACTTACTAAGAAGCTACTCTACGCATTCGTTTTGTAATGTTTTCGGTATTACTCAGTTATGCGGTTCCAAAGATGCTCCATCAGATCCGGTGAAATCGCGCTGCGGATACGGTTCTCCATACACTCAACGACTGGAGAAACCAACCGAACCCTGTCGTAATTAGGTTGTAAATAGACTCTATCAGTAGTCCCATATGAAGTCACAGTAATTGACTTAAGATAAAAGATATGGAATATTTAGGTGAAATGCAATTTCAAAATGCTCCACAGTATAAATAACATGGCCCATTTAAATCATGTTTGCCAGGGAGGAAAAATAATACAAGATCGTCCGCGACTCCCGTGACCATCTAGGCAGAAACCTACTTAGACCGTAGAAGTGAGTCAATTTGTACTCAAAATTAGAAAACCGAGTAAGCGATGATGGCACATTTGAGTATTCGGGATGGCTCGGCCTTACCGAAGGACTCAGGATGAATGGATACCGATGCACCTCCAACTAACAGGTGAAAATGGCCCATCGATAATTTCGGTTACTTGGTTCTCTCTGTTAGTGTGATCGACTAGACTGGTGGAAACTTGTGGCAAACACCGGCTTATGGAAGAGTAAGCACAACCAGGTTTACTGAGTGTCAGACCATGAACTGAAAGCTTAGGCATACCTAGAAAGGGTCCGTTAACCCCTTAAAATACAGCTAACGGATCAAGTCTATGAGAAGAAAACTGGAACACTGAAGAACACCTTTCCTCACAAAATGTATCCTAACTTTTATGTTCGGTGAAATCATAATTTCCAACTGATATGCAAGTCATAAACTCATGGAATATAGTTTTTCCAGTCGTTTGTGTCCATGCGATGCAGAAGAACAAGTATCGTCCTTTGGAATTTCGAAAACGCTATTAACTGCAACTGGTTAGAAGAAGAAGTGTTCCTTCTCTCAAATGTCTCCCTCACAATCCATGAATTTAAGTAAGCGCCCATGCAACTCATGAACTTTGGACCACCAGCTCTGTTTCGCCCAGTAGCACCAACACGACCTCAGTGTAATACCTTTAATTCGTTTAGCGGTTGAAAAATAAAACTCCTCTACAAAGTACATGACCATGAAAACGTCTGAAGTTATAACGCAAACTACCCTTTACAAACAGCTACCAATATCGGACGACTCGGGCCACGACAGCCTAGGAAGAAGTGAAATTTTATTGATACGATACTAGTACCGTTACTGTTTTCAGTCGTTGGAGCTTACTGAGTAGTGTAGTCCCTAAATTTCCACCCCGTTTATTTCGTTTCTGAACATCGAATTAGACATTTGTGGAGTTGAACGATCATTCAAAGTAAGATGGCGTTAACGTGTCATCGCTATCACCATAGGCAGCTATGATATTCAGTAAGCGCTGCGCTTCCAACAGTGAAGGCCCTAGTAAAAAGTAAAAAGAAAGAAGTATATGATGTCATCGTCCGGATGTACCCAGCGATTTTTGCGGAACTCACTCATCACAGCCCCAAAGAAAACAACAGACGGACTTTAGATATACTCGCCAAATAGATCGGCCACGTGTCAAAGCCTGTGAGTGCGAGCAGAATCATTTAGACCACACTCAGGAACGCCCGAAGATCCCACCGGGTTCGGTTTGATGGCTGCCGCGTCGTGAACTGCTACTGATGGGCATGCAGTCGACACAGGTTGGTAAACAGCAGTTGGACATGCGTAGCATGTGGCTCAAAAATCCGATCAGGCGAACCTTATCTGATGTTCTACCATAAAAAAAACACACTTATGGACTACTACATTGCGAATATAAGGCAGTCAGCTAAAGCCTGATGTGGAACGAAGATAGTTGTAGGCAAATATTTATTCATGTGCCATGTCTTTTCGACGCAAATGTACGGAAAAGCAGCCTAGGGAGAAAGGGTGGCAGCGCTTGGGTAAATCATGCACGCGATCATAGCTGTGAAATCGACACTCAAACGTCTGTCTAAGGTGCGCCTAATGGAAGTGTAACCCGTCTGAAATGAAAATGTTAGTTTGCATGAACCGAAAATATGCGACTAATTTGACCAATACTCCCTTGTATTGACTGGCGAAAAAAATTATTAATTAACTGATTAATTAATAATTAATTAATCAATTAATAATAATTAATTTTCAATGCCATTTCGATGCCTAGCTGCCATGCCACCCGAAGGAAGCGCGAGGGCTGAAACACTGCCCAATCGTGGACAGAAGCAGTTGACATGCCGAAGTTGGGCTCGAACCACGGACCTGGTCATTAAATTAGCTGAGCCATCTCGAGCTCGAAACAAACGAAGGAAGCATGAAAGCCGGGTTGCCCAAACTTAGACAAAAAAGTCGAGAGGCAGAGGTCGGGTTCGAGCACTTGAGGGATATGCCAAAAGGCAATCATTGGCATTCATTCGATGTCTTAGTGATTACTCGGTACCATAAAATGTCTATGGACGTGGTAGTTTGTTTCCTAATCCAATATGCATTCATGGCTGTTTGCAACATAGCGAAAAAGACTCCACCTTAACCAAATTGCCCTTAGTCTAAGTGTATAAATCGCAGAAGTTTTCAAGAATAATGATGAAAAACCAATTCAACTTACGCAACGACGCAAGCTATTTAAAAACATGCGCGAAATTTTCCGCAAACTCGTCTAAATGCCACACTTCTGATATCAGTGGTCTGATTGATTTCCACCATAGGTTGTAAATTTTGCCTCACTTTCATAAAAAACGGAAATACGACTTAATTTAGGATAACTGCTGGGTTACCTAAGTAAGAAAAGCGAGTTTTCGGTTGGTAAAAGGGGGACTTCCATTGGGGAATGTGTCCAGTACCAGAAACTGCGTTGGTTAGGTTATATATCGCGTATGCCGAACCATCTTTCGCCGAAGACAATGCTGTTTTCCGTGCCCGATTCGAAGCAGCGGAAGAGGTGACCAACTCTTGACCTGACAGAAGGGCATGAAAGAGATTTCGACGCGTTTGGGTGCTGTCGGTGTGAATCGCTTACCAAGATAAGGACCGCATGAGCCCCACTGCGCTGGTCGCAAACGCTGCAAGATATGCTTCCTAATCGATGTCAATGGCGTTCTCGTTGTCAGTCTTTATCCAGATTGCCGGAGTGAGTGTCTGCAGGTGTAGGCACCTCGGAATGATTGTAATAAGCTAACACTAAGTCCCTTTCCTGTCCACCTTTATTCCTTTCTTCATGGTTGTCCGGCAGCGAAGTATCAGTGTTGAAAGCCAATGTCATGCTATGATGATGATGATGCCTACTTTATTCGAGTATCTAAGTCAAAGTAGATGATGTAGATAACGTGGACAATGTCCCCTCATCGTTCGTTGTTTTTAGAGCACGATAAAATAGCTTGTTTTTCTGCTAATAATCGCACGCCAAGCTAAGTCACAATCGTTTAGCTGTATCACCCTTTCGGTGCCTAGCTGCCATGCCACCCAAAGGAAGCACGAGGGCTGGGACCCTAACAGGTTGCCCAAGCCTAGACACAGGAAGTGGAGAGGCAGAGATCGGATCTGAACCACGGGCCTTCCGGTTAGTAAATTAATGTTCTAACCGCTGAACCATCTCGCCCTCCTCATATTAAGATGAATGCTGAATCAACTAGCATATTGAACAGTGAACGGATGTGCCCTGAAGAAGTGATGAGTTGGGACGTTGAATGTTGGCCAGGAAAATCGAGGTTTAAATTTGGTCTTGGTCATTTCATTCATCAATTGCTCTCTACCTTCAAAGCAGATGGTCATTCGTCTGATACGATAGCATACTCTGGTATCTGTATGACGCTTTCATCCAGTATCAAGAAGA